TGTGCTAATAGATTTAACAACTAACTCTGACAGCACCATTGCTGCCACTGCGCCACTAGCTGCCAAGCAGCTGATCACGTCCTAGGCACTGGGGCTCAGCTCTGCTTTCAATTCCTGAAAATTTAACAATCAGCTCCCATCAGCTAGTACAAGCTGGCTCCAGAACACCACTGAGTAAAGGACTGTGTTTCTGAATTGCAGGTTTATTTGTGTGTGTTTAAGGAATAGAAATGACATCACCATCCCATAAATGAGCATCCAGAAATGACCTTTTGCCTCTTTCAGAAAATAATGTTGCACATAAGACCATTTCTAGAATAAGTTAGCCTAAAGGATCTGAAGGGAAAGAGAAGGCAGAGGTCAACAAATGAAAGTAGGAATTCTCTATTTATTATAGACTGTGTTAGAGAAATCAAGTTTAACAGAAAAAACATATTCATCCTTAATATCTGCACTATGAATGTGTAGTTTCAACGGAGGGTGATTCAAATGATCTCCACCAAAATTTACATGAATACAGTTCAGATCATATCACATCATATTTCACTAGGCAAAAGCTTTGAATACAAGGTGTCTAAACATTTACTTGATAGAAAAGTTTAAAATGGTTTCTTTTCTTTTCCCCTCCTACATTCTTTATTTACAAAAAAAGTATATGCTCATTACTAATGGTGCTAATATTCCTCAGGTTATATATGTAATGTACAAATACAAAACTTTTTTTTAAAAAACTCAACTGTAGCAAAGAGAAAGCATAGGCATACAGAAAACTCAGATAGGTTAGTACAAGGACAAAAATGAAAAAAAAAAAATCCACATCTGGGTTGTGATCCAGATGAACCTTAAGAATAAATGCAAATCTATACCTTGACTGTCCCTATATAATTTGATGTAACAGTAACTCACCTAAATTCATCCAATGCATCCATAACACGGCTAATGTAAACTTGCACTCTTTGGTTTGTTTCTGCTATTTTTCTACATGTGATCATGGCCTTGGGGGGAAAAAATAATAATGGGTTTAAAAATAAAGACAAAGGCGATTCTTTCCAGATGTATATTAAAAAGCTTAGAAAAAGGTCAAGTGTTGGAACCAAGCTTGGTATACAGGCTTTTACACTTTCTTCTTCCTAGTATTTGCCTACAAAAAAAAAAAGGTAAAGGCAACCTAAGGCTCCAACTGAAACTCATTTTTTGCCATTTCTAGAGCCCTTCTGACCATTTTGAGGCAGAAAGTATCCAAAAACTGTGGAAATATGCCACAGTGAGAAAAACCTAGAAAATTTCACCCCTGCCTACGAATATGATACAGCCCCAACTAGTCTGCATCATTCCCTTACCCATCTCAGTACAGCCCTTATTACCTTCTCCCTCCCAGAAGAAGAAGAAGAAGAAGAAGAAGAAGAAGAAGAAGAAGAAGAAGAAGAAGAAGAAGAAGAAGAAGAAGAAGAAGA